GTCCATAAACTCGCAAAAAAAAAGAACGAGGCCAATATCCAGCCATCTTGACCGAACAAGCTTGGTCAATTAAGGATTTATTATATGGCTCTCGGGGAAATTTTTCTTGCGGGACAAGGCGGGTAGTCCCGAGCGGGTAAGATAGCTCCATCTTGCCCGCTCGGGTAGCCAATCACAGAGCAGGATTTGATTCATCTTGCCCGCTCACGGAGCTAGCCATATAATAAATGCACTTAATTCGGCAATTCGATTCGGCGCATGTAAAATGCGACGTTTAAACCGGGCCTTAGTCTGAGCACGTTTCTTAGAGCCATTGGCATACTGAACAAATCTAAATAACTGCGAATTTCGCTGGTGAAAATAAATTCGTTTTTTGACTAGGCGTCGTCCTCGTATGATTACAGACCGAATTGGACTCCACTTACCTGCGATCCGTACCCTTCCTCCCTTATTTTCAGACGCGGGTAAGGAAAAAGAAAAGAACGCCTGTTGGCAGGTTAGACTCCACTCAGTCCTACTACCATCATTAATAATATACGTGCAAAAATTTCAGCCTACTGATTGGCTGAGAGCACGTCAGTTAATCCAAACAGTGTAGAAAGTTGAAATTGAGAACAAAAAGTTGCAATTGAGAGCAGAAAGTTGAAATCAAATCGCACGTATATTATAAACAAGTAATCAAATGATTTTTCTCCGGCAATTTGAAATAAATAAGCACTCATAAATTTTTCATAGACTAGGAAAAATTTTAAGTGTTTGAAACATTACTTGTGAAATGTTCGTGGCTAGTCTGACGCGGCGTTTCGTCTCGGCCAAGAGACTCTTCAGAGACCTTGAAACATTACCTTGTGCTTATTTATTCCAAATTGCACTTGAAATCATTTAATTACCCAGTATACAAATAGTACAAGGGCAAAGTGCATTTTACGCTTGGCAGACCAACAGTCACATGACCTCACTATTTCGGATGCAAACAGCCCTAATATTATGAGATTTTTACCATTCAAATTTAGTAAGCTATGCTGATATCGGCTGTGCTTTTGGTCGACTCAGTCTCATCCTGAAATTAACAAAAAAGAAACGTCCAAACCAGAAAAATAGAATATATTGCAATGGCCAGACTGCTCTTGGTTTGCTTTGTCGCCAAATTATTTCCATTGTTTCTCTTAGTCTGATCTCACCCTCAGGGTCCTTCGTGAACAAAATTCATATTCCCGTAGCACTATTTTTACCCAGTATCTCTAGAAACCAATCATACGTCATCTGGCATGTCAACGCCCGGATGAATGAAAAGGCCCGTACAGTCACCTGACCTAGCAGCTGAAAAAAACAGACCACAGAAGAGAAATTTTACCATTCGTTAATGCTGCCGTAAAATGCGGAGGTTGCTTATATTGAGCGCCAGGTTTTTATAGATAACTTCCTTCTCTTACGGCACAATTTATTTCTTTCAAGACAAAGTAAGATTCTATTTCACTATATCTATTTTAGAGTGTCAGCGTTTAAATATCCTTGAACTTGTGTTTATCACGACTTATTCTTTTTCCGGTTTCACTTTCAAGGAGTCGTTCACTGGTTGCGACGGGGCGCAAATTTTCCACACGCGAAGATTGAGATTAATGCCACGCTCTTACTTTGAACGTAAGAGATTCGGAACCTACTAGTCGGCCACATCTGGAAATCTGAGATGTAAGTATTAGTATTCAACTATAGTATAATCTGCGTAGCTGACAGGATTGTTCACGCGATGACCAAATTGGGCGACGTAGCCAATGGTCAGCTATTTAAAGTTATATTACAAGTTGAAGAAGATGTTTTCAGTCTATGACGGACAGAGGATCGAAGCGAATCTTACTTTAAAATTAGATCTAAAGCAAAGATTGACTGTGGCAGTGTTCTGCCAACTGAATACAATATCTGATAAACGTGAGCTTAACGTAGAGGCCGACCGATCAGGTGGATCAGCTTCTTTTCTAAACATAAATGCACCGGAAACTGAAGTTAGTTGTCCGAAAATCTTTCTCCTGAACTTGTGTGACAAAGCTATCTAGTACGGAGATAACTCAATTGCTGTTTAGTCGAAGTATTCAGAAGCACAAAGCCAGACACGCGTGGATGAACCCTCGATGTAAAAAAATTTAATGGAACATTGTCATCCAGAGAGGCCGCAAAAGTTTTGGTCATCTTTCTTTGTGTTTTGTCCAACTTTCTGAATAGAGAAAAATGCAAGTTCGAAAACTGATCTCTTTAATTTGTGGACATCGCTTTCTATGGTTTGAAATAAATAACGCAAGTTGAAATCTGTTTTCTCTTTGATATGCAGACGTCGCTTTCAAAAGTTATTCGTTGGTTAGGGTTCATTATGTTAGGAGTGATTATTTTGGAGTGATTCATCGGACTAGATTTGTCGTTCAGCATTTCGCGCGCGAGAACATTCAAGACTTGATACTCGTTCTTTTTGTGTCTCCATTGCTTTTCTAACTGCTGATTGTGTTATATGCGACAATCAATAATATATGTTTTGGTTTCTTTATTTATTACATAACGAAAAATCTATGGTTATTGAAATCAGTCTGTTGTTGTTTTCAGGGCACAGTTGCCAGATACACACCAGTCAACAGGAGGTGTAGCACCCAGGAAACCCCCAGGTCAATTTATCAAAAGGGTTCTTTTACTAAAGAATGGCGATTTTCAAAGAATCCATGGCCAAGTTTTCATGCCAACGGAAAGTGAAATATCAACAATAAAAAGAAATGCTCAACTAGGACAGTTCAGAAAAGGAGTCGAGTTTTGTACAAGCATGTCAGAAGACGAGGTAAAGAAAAGACTCCAAGAGACGTTTCCCTATTTGGAAAATGCACGGTAAGGCAAGATTTCAGATTCTTCAAGAGGCACTGATGAATATTTTAACTTTCTTGGGAAAAGAACTTGTCTAGATGGCGAAGGACCTGGATGCTACATTTTACCCTCGCTTCGGTCACCCCAAAACGCACACCATGCAGACTGCAGACTGCAGACCGTGCAGACCATGCAGACCGTGCAGACTGTGCAGACTGAGTCCTTTTTTTCCACCACTTGACTCACTTTTTTCGCTGCTAGTGACAAAATAGTGTTCAATATGTCTTAACGTTTGTTATTTATCCACAGGCGGCACAAACTCAACATCTGACTGTTGATTCATGCGTTTAATAGACTTTCTGTGGGAAATTATCTTTACTGGTCCTAAATAAACTAAAACCAAGCATAAAAATAAACTTCCATACATTCTGGGCGCAAATTGCGTCAATTTTTGACGGGTTTGTGGTTTTATTTATTTTGTGCGAAAATAAATAAATAATTGTTGTGTTTTTTTTTTTTTTCAATTTTCTTAGTCTTCGTTCTCTTCTTAACTGATTCCTAAAACAACGCAAGGACAGTGACTCTAAGCAACCTTGTCCCACAAATCGCTTTTGCTTCACAAAGCACAGAATCGCCATTAGACTGGGAGTATTCCCTCTTTCGCTAAGTTGAACACGACGGTAAGTAAACCTCAAGGAAAAAAAATGCTTGCATGAAATTTTTTCCTCAAGGTTTTCTTATGCGTCACGCACGATGGACTAAGCAAAAGAGGTGACGGACAAAACACTGACCCCTAGTCCATGGACTACCCTAATGGACTACCCAAATGGACTACCCTAAAATGG